TTAAAGAAATAGGATGGAAATTAAATTTCGTTGGACTAGGAAATCACTAGATTTTATATTACTTTGATGGGGAATTGGAATTCTTTAATTAACTAGTGAAGTATTAAATGGGTTAAAAAATGTCTTGGTGCCAGATCTCAAAGAGATGTTATTCATTAGCTATTACCTGTATGGGTCCTTAGATAATTTTGCACGTCCATTTAATATTTTTATCAATATTTTAGGAAATAAAAATGCTGTATGGCTAGACTGACAGACAATGTGAAGACTGACATAGCAGCAAATATGGGGGAAGTTTATAATTTATTAGAAATGTTTGAATATCTTGGTTTCAAGCCTAGAGATTTCAGCTTTTCCCACAGTAAATCTATATTAGATTAACTGAATACCTTGATGTTATTGACTGCATTGACTAGATCTTCATTTCCTGTCTAAACTTAGACATTTAACCTTTCAGTGTCAATGAACAAAAGTAATACACAGGGAAAGAAGGGGACAGGCTTTGTTATGGCATGTGGAGACTTACTGAGGACCTGAAAAAGAACCTGGGGTCTCTAGAGTCCAACCTGCAAAAAAATACATTTCAGGAATAGAAAAGTGATCCTTCCCATAAAAAAGGGTGTGATAAGTTTGGTCTAAGCCCTTTCTAGTACTGAGGTACCCATGTTAAGTTGTGGAAATAGTATCAGAGAGAATTCAGGAGAGGATTCAAATATTGCAGCTATTTCCATGTAGAGATGTGTGGCAGCAGTGAGAGTTTCAAATTTATGGACAATGCCTTAACAGGAATCACAGGCTGCCAAACAAAGGTAAAGAAATTCGACCTTCAGATAATCCATTCCTGTATCTTATGTAATAAGGATGGTTAAATGCAGGAGTAGCTTATGGGGAGAGGAAGTTGAAGATACCACCATCAAAAAGATTCTCAATAAGAATGGGGTCTTTTAAGAGAAATTATTTACCCTCTGAATATGGTATTTATGCTGGTTCACTCTGTCACTAGATTTTGTACCCATCTTTTTTAGATGCAAACACTTCTAATCCTCTGAATAGTTCAGATAAGATATTAGCATGAAGATAACCTGCAATTAATTATCAGGGCTTTCACTAGTCATCAGGAGCAAAGCAATTATAAAAAACGGTACAATGGAAATTCCTAGATTATATTTCTGAGAAATGTATTGTTAGCCATTCATTTGTGACAAAAAGATGAGTGGTGTGATGCAAATATTCTGAAAAGCCACATTTTTAAAAGTCAAATTTGGAACATATGCCTCAAAACTCAGCATCAGTTTTTGTGTGGAATTGATGTCTTGATGTGTTGTTATTTAGTCCTTCTAAAAGCTAAAATGAGGGGAAATGTTAGGCTGATAAGAAAGAAGACTGTCACTTATGGTTGATGGGAGATTTTTAAAGCACAAACACAATTTAGTACATTTACTGGAAAGTGTTTTTAAATGGCAATAGTAAAAAGGGAAAAAATGCATTCTCTGCTTCCATGTTTTTTCAGTGTTTAACTTTAGGATGCAGAATGTGCTAGCCTAAAAAAACACCTGTAAAATGAGTATCTGGAAACACTAATGTACCTCTGGGGAAAGTGCCATGTTCAAAAAAAAAATATTTAACATATTTACTCCAACGGCAAAATCTGTCACATACTGACCTGCTGCTGCTTTCACGTGTGGCATTCACATTCTCTGGACAGGGAGACATAATTCTGTCTCGCACGAGAAGCACAGAGAGAAGAGAAAACAATCTTTATCTGTGCTCCTTTGTTTTTGCCATGTGGAATGTGGTATGGAGATTGTTTACCTGAAGTGTTTGCTTGATTGGATTCTGGTGAAGGCTGTTTGGGTTCAGTGACCAGTTGGATTCAGCTGTATCTCAGACTCTCAGCAGAGAAGTCATGAGTTGTTAGTTGACAGGTAAGTAAGAAATAAGTATGTAGAATAGGAATATATCTCTCTAAATAGTATATTAATGTAATAGAGTATAGTTTTAATAAAGCTATCCTTCAGCCTTCTGATCTGGAGCCAGACATCGTTTCTTCCCTGAGTTGGGGGTCGCCTGATTTCCATAATCACATGCAGGCTGCAGCCATGGTTTAGTGTCCTAGAGTTATTTCCTCACTTTTTACACCCTTTGGTGTGGAGCAGAGTTGATCTGTAATCATGTCAAAGCCCCATTCTATTACTTTGCTCCAGTTTTTCCAGCACATATTTTATTTTATTTTCACCTTACCCAGGCTCTTGCTCCAGCACACACTTTTCTAAGTGTTTTTCTAGCTTTCCTAGCAGTATAAAGTAATGCCTACTTATGTTGGTGCCAGGGGGGTTGCCTTGTTTTGGGTGTTGTGGTAGCACAACAAACCAGGCAGTTTTCCTTCCTTTTGTTAGCTGCTGATTTCCCAACTGCCTTTAGATAGTTACAGCTCTCTTTCAGAGCCATTTCCTCCCGGACTTCATACAGCAAAATGAGAGCTGCACTGGACAAAGCACTATAAAATAGGCTCCTGAGAGCAATGTGCAATGCCTTGGAGCCCTAAGAGGTGCCTTGAATCTCTTTTCTGTATTTCATTCCCTTTAGCACATTAAGGTGAAATGTTTCTCAGGGAGCTTTCACCAAAGATCTGGGAGTAGTGCAGGAAAACAGCAGGATGGAAGTGAGCTCTAGATGGGCTGGGGGCTGTTTATCAATATCTGTGTCCTCTTCAGCTTGGGCTGCACAAAACTCATTTCTCTTGCAATAAAAGAGACTATGAAGGTGAATGAATGCTTGGAACTGGCTTGCAGATGTTATCAGCAACCAGGTGATAAGAGGATTTGCTTTCTGTGTTTGCCACAGCAGTTATGAATGGTAATTCCCTCATTAGGAAGCTCTGGAGGGTAACAGCAATGAAGGACTTACTGCAGAATTGGAACTCACAGTCCATGGTAGAAGGACAACACAGCAAGAACCTAGCTACTAATAGGGAAGTGGGAAAAGAGGGAGTGAAAGAAGAAGAAAAAGGTTCAATTTTTTTTTTTTTTTTTTTGCTCTTGTTATCCCTGTCCCTTCCATTTCCATAATCCAGAATAAAAATGAAGATGCAGTACCGAACTGTTTCTCTAAAAGTCTGAAATGTATGTACTGGATCTGCTGTGTTAGATCTGCCTACCAGCAGTGATGGTGGTTTTCCCAAAAAGGATTCCTTCCTTCCTTCCTTCCTTCCTTCCTCCCTTCCTTAAAAAAATCTTCCATAAATTAAGGGTTACTTTTGTGCAATAGATTTCATGTCAAAGCAACCCTTTTTAATTTCTTGCCCTTTGGGTGAGCTGCCTCTTTCTCCTCTGCAGAAATACCTTCAAGCCAGCTGTCTTTGATTCATTTGCCTTTCTGTTCCACATGGAGTTTGTCAGATTAATCTGACACCTTCCTATGCTCCCCCGCTCCTGAACTCTGTCCTTCAGAGCTCTGTCAGGGTAACAAAACCTGCCAGGGAACTCTCCCACCCCAGGTGTGGGTTTACCTTTTAATGGCCAAAGCTAATGAGGCCACAGCCTCATCTCTCTGACACAGAGATGAGTACTTTTTTGGATATAGCTCCAGCCTAGGTGCTGTGTAGAGACTAAAAGGGTGCTGTTTTCTCCCCCCTGAATACAGACTCTACATATTTCAGAGCAATTGCAAGGCTGGAAGTACCTACTTGGCTACTTAAAGGTTCTTAAATTGAACCCTTAATCTCAAACCACCACCCCTGCTTGTGAGGGGTGGTGGTTTGAGATAAAGGGTTCAGTTAAGAACCTTTAAGTAGAGCAGCCAAGCACCATTTAATGAAAATTAAGATATTTCACAGTGGGTATCTAGACCCATCCTCTGGTCATGAATTCAAAGGTGTGGTGAGGTGTGTGTATATTACTGAGCTCCCAAATCTCTCAAGTCATGCCAGTGACCGATTTGGCAAAGGAACTCCCTACCATGTCCCTTCTGCCACTTGTCTATTTTCACCCATCCTTCTCACTCTATCCCACTTAAATCTGACTCTGACTAAGTTTCAGCCACTAAAGTGAATGCTCAGATGGCTTTATGCAATTTTTCTAATGTATCATTATAGCCAAGCTCTTTTCACAAAAGAAAATCAAAGGTGAGCCCGAGTTCTGTAAGGGTCTAGCCCACATCCCATTGACTTCCCTTGGCATTTGTGCAGGTCCTGGCTTGTGACTCAGGCTGGTATTTTTCCATGTTGGAAAAAACTCACAAACACTCTTTTGAGAAGTTTTCAACAGCTCTGAAAGCAACATGGAATATATGTGCTCTAATATAGCTACAGTATTTTAATTGCAGGCATCTGCCATTCAGCTAATGCAGATATTCGTGGAAATGTTTACTTCATTACTGCATCACAAGAACTTAATTAGGCTGACTGGAGACTTGAACAAAGGAGGCTGAAAAGGCATCAATTATGTGTGTTAACACACTGAACAGGGCTCTGAAACTCAGACCCCAGCTTCCATCAAAAGGGGCTGTTCAGGAGCCCAGGCTGGCGATTTCAACCCCTTCATTTAGCACACCCCAGCAGGGCTGTGCTCCTCTGGAGGCAAAGAGAGCCTTTCCTGCAGTAACTGGGGGCTGCCTGTGCAGCAGGAGAGGCAGCAGGGGATGGGGATGAGCTGACAGCATCAAACCACAGCAGGGATGTCACTCCCAGCCAGCAATCACAGCCTGCGAGCACCAAACCCAGAGTCAGGTGTAGTGCATAGATAGAGATTTTCCATCAAAAGCCTCTGTGTGTTTAAATTATGACATGGGGCCTTTTCTTATTTAAAATTTGCAGCAGCACTGTGAAGAAAAATAAAATACTTCTGAAAATAATTTGGATATGTGTGAGGTATAACACGTTTGCTCAACCTTATTACTCCCAAATCCCAGTGAAAACTACAGATACATCCTGGTAAATGTGTTTCAAATTGTTTAAAATAAGAAATCTTTGAGCAACAGTCAAGACAAACTGGTATTATATATTTTGGATCGGAAGAAATTATTTTTATTGAAGAGAAAGTATTAACACCACTGCTTTTTTTCAATATTCCTTTAAAAGTTTTAGAATTTGTGTTGTTTTTTTACCAAATTTGGGCTCAAAATAATTTGGAAAGCAGTCAGTCTTTTGTTTCTTTCATGGCAATAACTATATGATTAAAATATATTTTTTAATATTAATGGGATCTTACATCTTATTGCATTATATCACAGTAAAATAACAGGCAATTAATAATAAGTAACATTCTGAAGGTGAAATAATGTAAAAGTAAATAAAATTAATTATTACATGAGTAGAAGTAATTAACAAGTGGAACTGGATTTTAGTATAAAATTACTGCAAGGGCTACTGAAAGCTCTCAACACTTTTTATATTACTTTGGTAAAAGGAATTTTCATCTGATTCAGATAAAGCTGCACAATTGTATTTGTGACAGATGCTCTTAAATGTGTTACTTTGTATTTTCAGATCACAACATTCAATGAAAAAATACTGTCAAAATACTGCCAATACTGACAAATATTGTCAAAAAAAGAGTAAAAGTGTGTGTTTCCCAGTGATATAACACCACATCCAGTTCACCCTGCTGCTCTGAAAGTCACACAGTATTTAGAACTATATGAGAATACATAACTTTATTACTTGCGTGGTGGCTTGTATTAATTGTGACCTTATTGTCACTCAAGTATTTTTCATCTGGGTGGTTCCTGTGTAACATAGTATTAATTCTGGTTATGATTAGTACAACCAAACAATTTGAGACACTGTGCCATGTGATGTATGATGATATTTTCTTTCTGTTGTGCTTTGCAATGATCTTTGCCATTAACACTGATAAGGACAAAAAGAAACCAAGAAAGGCTGCAGCAGCAGCAGAGACCAATAAAGATAAAGCTCTTGTGTGTGTTGGGGTTTCTGTTGGAGCACACAGCACTGTAAACAGCGTTCCTTTTCCATAAAGAGGAAAACAAACAAGCTGGCGTCGCTTTGAGGATTGCAGCCCCATTGTCATTTGTGTGTGCCTCTTTCTTAGCTGATTTTATTTAAGAATGGGGGTTTTTTTCCCTTTAGTCTGCAGCAGTTGTATTAGATGGAACTCTTAGACAGAATTCAGATAAGCCATAATCTATTGCTCCTGCTCCAATACTGTGGTTTCAACTCAGTCCATTGCTCTCTTGAATAAAATCATTGACAGTGATGTGGGTTAGTTGATAAAATCTCTTTACAGAAGATCTTCAATCCAGAATTTCTCCTGCTTTGAAGAGAGTCTGCAGTACAGAAGAACTTACAGAAACCTCAGGGGAACTAATGGCATTTAGAAAATAAAAGTCATTAAACAAATCTGCTTTCTATTGGATTTCGCTTAGTAAAATAGGCATAGCAACATCAAATCATCGTGCCCTAGGCTGGCATTTTTAGAGTGACAAAATTTTTATTGCTTCATTTCAAAATAACTAATTCAGATTTTTCACATGCATTACAGGAAAGCCAAACTCAAACCATATATCTTGAACATGTTGTAAGACTGTTTTTATTTCTCCTCCCTGGCTGGTTCAGTACTTACCCATCATTTTCAGTGGTTTGAAATAAAGATAATTTTCAGTCTTGAAATCTGGAGTTGATCTGCTGTTTGCTGTGGATGGGCAGAATTGCCTTACAGCATGGAATTAACAATTTTTTGTTTGTCTGTTTTTAATTTCTTAGGGACTGGACCTACCTCAGGCTGATGACCATGACTATCAACATAAAGCTTGATATTCTTCTCTAGATGTCTGGGAATGTAGAAGTCAGATTTATTAAGATCCCTCAGTTTAATCACTCCTGAGGCCTATTCTGGACATCTACAGTTGGAATATTGTACTTGCAGTGAAAACACTGTTTTTATATTCAAATTCCAAAAATTATCACAATAAGATGTAGAGAATGATTTTTGAGTTACCATTGTGAGTTAATTTCTCAAGCAACAGACAATTGTCAAAGTTAGGATGACTGGGAAACAAGTTCATGCATTTTGGTGAGAGTTCAGGGTATTTGTTTTAATGCTGGTATGAAATTTAAGATTAAAAAAAACCTCCAGCACCCCATGAATCTCACTGTAAAGTTGCTGATTACACAAAGCATAAATTTATGAGGTGCAGCATTTCCTTTACAGCCAACACTCATGCTTTGATTGAGTTTTATAAATCAGAGTATTGGCATCCTAATTTTAAAACACCCCACAGATATTTTCTTTCTGTTCCCATGCTGTTATTTCTTTTCTGCTCACAGATGGTATTCTGACATTTCTAATATATACTGCATTTGTATGATAGTTTCCCAGAATATTTTGATAAGGAACTCCAAAACCAATTTAGTCAGAGAGCAAATCTGATGTCAAACTGAAAAAGCTTTTCCTTCCTATTTTATTTTACTTTTTTTTTTTTTTTTTTTTTTTTTTTTGCTAAAAGGAAAGAGAGAAACAAGCAAACTTCTTTAAGGAGATGAAAAGATAGACTTATCTTTTTCTTGTAAAAACTGAAATCTCTGAGATATGTCAGGGCTTATCCTGACATGATTCTTTCCTATTTACAATTAAATTTGAGAATCCTTTTGATGCTTTATATTTCTTTCCTCACATGCAACCTCTTTGTTTCTGACCTTACATTCCAGATCATTTAGGTGTTTTTAATCTAGTTTTGAAGGTGAAAATGCAGCATGAATTTAATACTGCATCTCTTTGTCCGAGTTAACTTTTTTCACAGGAGTATTCGAATTTCTTTGGTTTTCCTGAGTGACGTTCATCCTTCTGAGTTTTGGATGTCCAAAAATTATCTGTGCTCTCCAAGGTGGCACCTTAGTTCCCTCTGCAGGCAATGCAACAGGATTATTCACTCTCTCTGTCTGAGATATCTTTGGGGGGGAATCAAATGTTTGCACCCGACAGTCTTTCAGTACTGGCTGTACTGGAAAACCAGCATGTCCTACCAGCTGGAAAAGGAAAGGAGACTCCCAGTTCTTGAATGCAGGAAGTTACCACATAAGAATTTGCAAAATCTGTCTTTTTCATAAAGGTCACCAAAACAAACAAACAAAAAAAATCAGAAATGTCATCATGTATCTCGTACGCTTGTTTTTCAAAATAATATTTTAAAAGAAATTTCCTAATATTTTGAGAAGGATCAAAAATTCTGAAATGTCAAAGTGCTTATCTAATGAAATCCAAACTTTCATGATCTAGAATATGGAATAATTGAGGTTGAAAAAGACTTCTACGCCTATTCAGGCTGATGTAATGATCTCTCAACATTGTGTAGAAGCTCAGCTCAGCTCATAAGCTACACAGACAGCCTCCACAGCCCCAACCAGACTTTCAGAGTAAGACCCTGAGGTTTTAATGACATTATCCTGAAAGCAATGCCAAAATCATTCTAATGATTTCAAAACCCGGAGATGAAAAACTCGAGAGCAAGACTTATGAGAAATCAATTCAGAGGAGAGAGAGGGAGTGGGGATAAGGTTCAACTTCCAGATTTTCTGGCAGCACCACGTGACATCCATGTGAGCCATGGCATACCTCCAAATGACAGAACAATTTAATTCCTTCTACTTTATTCCTTATCCTGCAAGATGTTATTCAGTCCTTAGGAGTGATGACAAAGCACCGAGTGCACATGAATAGTAATTGTACACGAGCGTGATCATTACAGGCAAATTTAGTGCTAAGTAAAGAGCTGTGCAGCACAGAACAGAGGATCTGAAACTGCAGGAACTTGTGCAATCTGCAGAGATAGTCACCAGATCTTAACAGCAGACAGCAACAGATCTGGGTGGGTTTTTTACTTTGAAGATGCTGAGTGTGATTGTACATACTCATTTATATTTTCCAGAAATTTTAGTCAATACTTTCAGTGTTGTCCACCGAACTGCATTGATTTAGATTAAATTTTGTTTCAAAAATCAAGAGACCAAATTTCAAAACACCTCATGTTAACATTCTAGAGGTTTTGGAAATTGAAAGTTTTGGTGTTTGTTTACAAAACCTCTTTTAATTACAAACTGTTATTATTTTCATAAACAAAGGTAAAGTGTGAGACTGTTCAAACAAAATGATCAGAAAAAGTATTTCTGCAAATGTGAAAATCTGGTTTGGTTATTTTTTTCCAAATACAGCTTGTGTACTTATCCCGCATTCAGCAATGCTCACTGACATTATAATTCTCTGATAAGCAGACATAGAAACAGACACACAGACATTGTCACCTTCACAAAGAAATCTCTTCCAAGTAAAATATTAATTAACAATGCTGTTGTTTCAGGGAGGGGAGTAAATGCAGTTGATAAAACACCAGTTAGAGGGTGAGAGAGGGAAATGTCAAGATTCCATGTCTGTGAACTTGCAAAGCTTTCCTGGACTTTACTGCTCTATACAGAATTACTGCTGAGACGTGACTGATTAACTTGCAGGCTGCATGATTCTTTTGCAGCCGAGAGGTCATTTAAAGATAAAAATGCCCCCTGAAAGTCCTGAATATCAGCAAAGTGAACTGGCTAAGGACACAGTTGAAGGGACATTGGGATCCCACTACTGTAAAGAAAATGTATCTGTCTAACAATTGGCTTTTGCTCCTCTCCCTCCACAGACTTGCCAAGCTTGCACTGAGCTTGAGATTGAGGTTTTGGCCTTCACTTTAGGCTCTTCTCATTATTTTGCATCACTCCTGAATTTCCTTGTGCCTCTCAAACCTAAAGCAGAGAGTGGTTATTTGACTCCCTGTGCCAGAAACCTGTGTTCATCCCATCCAAGGAAGAGAACAAAGTTGGTGAAGGCTCTTGAGGACAAGTCTGGTGAGGAGCAGCTAAAGGAGGCTGGGGGTGTTTAGCCTGGAGAAAAGGAGGCTCAAGGGGAGCATTCTCACTCTCTACAACTGCTGAAAGGAGGATGTAATGAGTTGGGGCATTTTTTTTTAAATTTAAGTAAATGTTCTATCCTCAGTTTTATCTGGCAGCCAGGAGACTGCCATGGCAGAGCACCAATTGTAGAAAATTATAAAGGACATTCACCACATGGTGTAAGATGCCTGGTGAAGCACTCACAGTGTTCTGTTCTGTGCAAGAGTTAATTTCCATGACTTAGAAGTCCTACGTGATGGTATTCCTGTAGCTTCAGAGATATCATTTAGCCTGGTGTAGCTGATGGCCAATGGTTCTATCATGTAAAGAAAGATTGCGGGATGGAAAGGCCATAAAATAGAGTGAAAACAATCAGCCTCACCACTAAACTAATAATTCATATTATTTATATTAAGGATGACTATATTCTTACTGGCACAGCTTATATGGAACTGAAGTGCTCCTGCAGAGCTCTTCCCAGTGGCAGGCAGACCATGAGGGGAAAATGTAATTTACTTAGCTTTTTGTTATACTCTTACACAGGTTGTATTTGCTTGCAGTTGTTGTTGGTGACAGCATGCTGCTAAAAATGGACATTTACTATTGCTTGAAATTGGCATTTTTGTGCTCATATGTGGTTACTTAGGAAATTTATACAGCAAGATCACCCATTCACGAGTTTGTAAAGACTTACTGGAGCCCCCTTCATCTTCAATGTTTCAAATTCATCTCTGAGACGGTTGCTTCGACATTTGATATGGTGCAATTTCAAATCCTTCCAAGGGAAAAGCTATTAAGGAAATCTGTCTAGTGAACAAGTTATTTGAAAATAAATTTTGACTGCTTTTGAACTGTTCTCAGCCTTTAGAGTCCAAAATGCATAGGAAACAACAGAAGTGTGTTTACAATCACATATATACAATTAATAGCTGATGACAATCAGGGAATAGCAGTGTGTTTATCTTTTCAAAGACAAATATTTATAATGGAAACATTTAATGACTTTAGCATCTTATTTAACTGGCCTTCCTTTCCATTGCCTGGTCTAAACATTGTACAGAATTCTACTAGCACTAATTTCTGGAGTAAAACATTTATATCAGTGTTGTGTAACATGCTGGCCAGGTACCCTCACAGTGGTTAATAGAAAAATGTCATTACCTGATGTGATGGCAAAGAAAGAAGATGGCATTTATTTGCTGTGCCAGTGCAGGCTGTGAAAAGTTGGCACAAAGTTTACCGCCCCCATAGGGGTGGGTGAACTTGGTACTTATAAACTACAAACAGAGTAATCCTGCAAAGATGGACATGGTCCTTCTGAAATCCCCTTTCAGGTGGTGACAGACTCCTCAGTGTTTGAGTCCTGGGACTGGAATACCTGAAAGAGTCTTTTTCTCCACAGAGGGGCAAGCATATGCTTTATCTTCAGTCTAATTAATTTTTAAGTATATACAGAAGGTAGCCTTTATAGTTTCACAGTTTAAAGGAGATGGGTTGCAGTCTTCCAGCCTCCCATGTGGCATTTCCCTCGGTATTTTTTCCCCTTTTTCTGTTACTAGCACAACTCTAGCCTGTCTAAGCAATAGTGCTGCCTTGTACATGATGTTGTTTCAATTCACAAATCTTTTCCCTTGGTGGACCCCAAAGCTCTCCATAACAACATGGAATTTCCAATAACTTGAATCAAAGTGAACCAAGAAAGACTAATCCTAAAAACAATCAAGCATGTTGTATTAAAAAACCCCATTTAAATCTGAAAGAGTTGGTTAGTTTTGGCTTACTAGCCAGACCTAAGATGTGGTGGTTTTCTAACCCTGCTGTGTTCAGACAGCATCTTCACTCCCGTGTTTCAGGAATATATGTTTGTCTGTTTGTGGGTACATACAGCATATAGGCATACATTTTAAATGTCAACCTGTGTAAAAAAGGCCAGTCTGAGAGACTGAGATGAAGACAGAAACTTTTAGAGGTCTGTTGTCTTTATTTTCCAGCAAATACATTCATTATAAAGCCAAAAGAAAATGAAACAGGATTATTAAGTATGGGAATGGATTTAAGGAAGGTCTTTGATCCAAAAGAAAATAGACATTTAGGCCAAACTGTTGAAGGGAAGAATTGTGTAAGCATTAAAGATTAATTAAAATTAATAGTGGAGGGAACAGTGACTACATTTCTCCACCTGAGCAGACAGTGCTTCTGAAAGAAATCTAATAAATGTGGCATGAAACAGAAGTGACAGAGCACTGGAGAAGGAGAGGAGAGGAACAGAGTTAAGAGGAAAGACAGTCCGGAAAGTGCCCTTTGGGATCTGGAATGGCGTTCACTTAAAAGGAATTCACATGGCAGCAGTGCGACGTGGCTGATAGTGCCTCGTTCTGGCTTTGAAAATTCCTTTAATCGGATATTCCATTCCAAAAGACATCCCCCAGTGTCCTCACTCAGAAAATAGAGGCAGAAAATAGACAAAACTTGGGAAAGATGCCATGGGACACTGCAGAGTTTGATAAAATGAATTTTGGCTCATATTAGTGGGATGTTTGGCTGTTGCTGAGGGTTTCTGGTGTTGGCCTGAGGAGTGATAGAGTCAGATATAATGGGAATGACATCAAGCATGATCCAGGGATGGTGTCTTAACAAGAAACATGCTCCCAGCAGCACCACTGCTACTGCTCCTGGATGCTGTCAGTTGCTCTGCTGGAGGAAAACAGACATGTTTGCACCAAAGTTTTATATTGTGTTTATAATTAGGTCATAATTTGTACCACAAGCAGAGCTTTTAAGGTAGTGGAGAGAATGCACACCCACCCCTTAAAGCCTAGATACTATAACTGATTTATAAATGTAGTTAACTTTATGGATGACAAAAGTTCTTCCTTGTGATATATTTAGGAATGTGCCTGAATATTTCCCAGGAAGGGCTTTGTTATCAGCCTTCTTCTGTGCAGACAAGGACAGATCATTTTCTTAAGGTTATGCAATAACTCAGAAGGGTGCTTTTCTCTTGTGGTCTTCCTAGAATATTCCAATAGGGACAACAATGGGAAATGAAAAAAAAAACCCACAAAAACAAAAACAAAAACAAACACAAACAAACAAACAAAAAACAAAAAAAAACACCAAACCAACCCAAAAAACCCCAACAATGTTCTACTTCAGCTTAAGCAAATATAAAGTTGAGAAACATTACTGCTCTGCATTTACAGAACTGCTCTGAAATCCTGATGCTGAATTCACATACTTGGAAACTGTTTTCGAATTTAAAGCAAACTCCAGAAGAACAAAAATGGACCATCCTAGTAGATTATTTGGCTTGCTTCACTCACTCAGTTTAGTCTGAGTTGACTGACTTTATAGAACTAGATAAAGACTAGTTGTAGACTAGTAAAAGGTATGAGAACAGCTTTAATATACTGGTACAGTCAATAATATTAATTGGTTCATTCAAAAGTTGTATCATTATAAGTGAAAAAATACTCAATGTGTAATTAATCCAAGGTTATCTTATCAGCAAAGGCACTGGAAACAGAACTCAACATAAATATTATTATCAGTTTACTTCTTCAGTCCAGAGCTGGCCACTAATTGCTATAGACATATTTTTGATCATTTTATTCACATATGTTGTGTTACTATCAGGAAATTAATTATTCCTTTTTATTTTTCCTTATTCAGAACACATTTGACATAACTAGAAAAGGAAAAATGTTAAACACCAAGTGATTCAAAGTGCTAAGTCCAGCTAGTGGCTGGCTCCTGGTGACATCCCATAGGGATCCATACTGGGGCCAGTGGTTCCTGCTTAACCACCTTAATAATTAATTGGATGATGTGCCAGAGCTGTCTCTCAGCATGTTTACAGAAGATATTTGCTATTCAAGGAGACCTTGCCAGGCTGGAGATATGGGCTGACAGGAGCCTCATGAAGTTCAACAAAGGCAAAAGCAAAGTCCTGCCCCTGGGACAAAGTAACCCCAGCACCAGATGGGGGCAGGGACTTCTGAGAGCAGCTTTGGAGATGAGCAGCTGAGGGTCCTGGTGGAGCACAGGCTGACCAGGGACCAGCAATGTGCCCTTGTAATAAAGAAAGCAACCCCTCCTGGGCTGCATCAGCCAGAATTCAGCCATCATGCCTTGTTAGACTGTCATGGTTTGACACGGGAAGAGAATTTTTTTTAGAAGGAAGAGGTCAATCCAGTCAGGGGTCAGGTTTGGATATTGACACTTGGGGTGACCAATTGAAGGTGGACACGCCTCTGAGAACACAGAGGGGTTAAAAGCGGAATTCCCAGGAGGACTCATTCTTCTTTGGTTCCGGTCATCGCAAGGTACGGACCTCTCCCCCCCCCAGCCCGGGCTGGGTGGGGGAGGGGAGCCATGCGGCCTGCAGAAGTAGGCCAGGGGGTGAAGGATCGGAACCGAGCTGGGCCAGCTCCTGCGGATGGAAGGGTGGAGAACATCTGGGATGTCTTTGTTCCCCCTCCCCTAAGTTAGAGGGAAAAAGAGATAGAGAGCCTGCAGGCACCTGGGAGTTTGCTGGCAGAGGAGAAGGAGAAGGGGGGGGAAGATGCCCAACGTGGGAGACTGGAGACGAGTCCTGGGCTGAGATTTCAGCCATCCGGGGAGTCCGGGAATTTTAACCCTTTCCTGTGAAATGAAGGCTTTATAAAATATTACTCCTTCTCAATTTAAAAAAAAGAAAAACAGCCTAAGACCTCAGATGTTCAGAGAAGAAGGTTGGGAGGAGATGATAGAGTAGCTTTTAGCTAGACTCTGCTTGTTTACCATAGACTAAACCACTCCTTCTTTCAAGAGGGACTGCATTTTAGGGGGATGCACTGGTGAGCCAAAAGACCTCCTTCAGCAACTACCAGTTCTAGAATGGACAGAGAGAGAGCTGAGGAGGGTGTGAGGATGCCCTCCATCTTCAGAGAAGAAGAGAAAGAAATCTCTGTCCTTGGATCCTCGGCCCCAGGAGAAAATGGGGGGGACTCTAGTCCCGAAGTGCGATACTGGACTGTCGTTCCTGGTGGTCCTTGGCAAAGCATCCTTAAAGGGGCCCTATAAGCAGTCTCTGTCCATGCACGGTGGTGAGAGGAGAGTGTCACACTGGCCGGTGTGTCTGGGCAGTGCCACGTATGACATTAAAAACACAAGAGGTGGCAGCTGTGTTTCCTGGGGGTCTGTGGTGCAAGGGGGACTCCTCTCTTCCCCAGTAAATTCAGTATTAATTATATTAAAAGGTAAAAACTAGATTAAAGATCTAAATAGGTCTCGCTGTAGTTTAGTGGAGTTGGGTGGTGGGAGGAGGAATGTTTTAGAAAGTTTTCATTTTAAAGTTTGTGTATTTTTTTTTTTCTTCCCCTTTATGTTATTAATAGTAGTGTAATAAAGTCTTTCCTTTATTATTAAGTTTGGCCTGCTTTGCTCTGTTCTCAATCGCATTTCACAGCAATTAATTAGTAAGTTACATTTTCATGGGGCGCATGCATTGTGCCAGCATCAAACCATGACATAGACTCATCCTTCTGTCTGGTCAGCACTTGTTACACCCATCTGGTGAAAATCTGGTGAACCATGTCCTGAGCTCTCCAGTGGAGGACAGGCATGGAGATACTGGCCTGAGTTCAGTGGAGGGGACTCACTGGATGGAGTAGGTGAACCCTCAAGATGGATGGGGAGCAGCAGTATCAGATGTAAAAGAAGAAACAGGAAACTGAGTTTGTTCTGCGTGAATTTAAAAAAGAGAAATCTTCAGAGGTGATTTTTTGTCTGTCTGCATCTCTCTGACTGGAAAACCAGAGAAAACCAGGAGACTTTTCAGAGAAGTGTGCAGTGACAGGAGGAGAAGCTGTGGATCCAACCTGTGACATGCGGAATTCAAACTCAATATAAGGAAATTATTTTTTACCGCGGGAGTGATCAGAACTTTCTCACAGTTACCTGCAGAAGATCTGGAATCTCAATTTTTGGAGATGTTCTCTTCCTTACTAATTCAAGTTCCAAGAAAAGGTTAAAGGATTGTCTTTTTTGTCAAAACTCTAAAAATTACTTGTAAAACACTTTGTATGCAACTGTTGCAGAAAGGAGGTCAGATTATTGGTCCAGTTTCTGTCTCTAAATAGAACCCATTTATTTTCCCAAATGTATCTTTAAAAAAATATTTCTTTAATGAAGTTTGCATGCCCAACTTGCCTTACTGAATTACATCTGGGATCATCTCATCTTCTTCAGAAGCACAAAAAATACTGATTTTAGTGCTGCTGCTAATTCTAAGCAGAAGGTGAAGGTCTGGTTACATTAGTTATTTTGCAAAAGTGGGAGAAACCTGCTTTAATCCCTTAGATAGTGGGATCAGTATTTTTATGGTATTTCCACTAGACTAAGAACATCTAAGTGGACAATTACATTGCAGATGTCAATGTTGTGTCAATTTAATCCCATGCTAAAATGGTGCTACAGCACCATGCACAATTAGGGCAACACCAGGGCACTACAGTTCAGCCTTCTCTATTTTAAATCACTAAATGACTTGTTGAAACTTTTTTTTCTCCAGTCTGGCTCTCCCAGGCAACTTCTAAACACAATTTGAAAGTCAACATTAGGCAGACACTAATTCAAACAGAGATCTTTGGAGGTTAAGAGTGTTTAAGGGTGGGACATGTGGAAAAAGAATGGAAGATGGGTGAGAAATATTGTAAATATGCTCAAGTTTCTTGCAGCTGAGGTGTCAAACCCCACACATATTATGCTAGTTGTTGTTTGGCCTTGTCTGTTGGACAAATAGAACATCTGTGTTTAGATAACAAGCTTCTGGCAGGCTTAGAGGCACCCTATCAAACATACCTGTGATTTCTGCCCTGTTGTGGAAAAAACAGAGCCCAACAATAAATTACACCTGTGTGGATGCCTGGACTATAGGTGAAAACAGCAAGTTTGTTGGTCTTCCAGCATGGATCAATCTCCATGGTGCCTGCATTCTCATTTGTGTGCCTGTGCCTGGGTGTTGCTTTAGGGATCTCCTGTTTGACAATGAAAATATATTTATTCTTTGCATTTATCCATGGTTCTGTGGTTCCTGCCCCTTATTCATGCCAGGTGACATAGGACACAAAAAAGGACATTTTACCTCAGATTTAGGAGAAAATCTCTGGTGCTGGTTAGTTTGCTAGTAGAAGCCAAGGTCTTCTCATGACTATTCTTCAGCATCTTATCTGTACAATAACAAAAAATAAATATTTTCTCTCCCTCTTACCTATCAAATTGCTCTTTCCTTGTCTAGGAACCATCTCATTCACAGGGAATAAACAGCACCTCACACAGCAATCTTCTCATCTCTTTGGAGTTCTAGACAAAAGAGAAATATAAATAATTAACAGAAATAGTAATAACAAGAGGCCATCTGTCCTTTCGCACCTGTTTTACATTCTACAGAATGTTAATACCAAAATATATTCATCAACTTTAATAGACATCTGGAGCATAATCATCCAGCAACCACTTGTATAAAAGTTACTGCATTAAATAATTATCAGTGAAATATGGCAAATAAAAAAATTGTCTTTGGAAGCACTGAAACAGAAACCAGATTTTTCAAGCTCCAAGAATTAACACAAAGAGAAGTACAGCTACCACCAGTTTTGCTGCTGTATAGTCTTTGGTGTCTCTTTTTCAGACAACTTAATTAGTATTTGTATAAAACCCACTGGCATGAGCAAAAACTTCTAATGCTGGGGAATTTGATCTTGATCTCACTCTTCTAGTTTCTTCCTTCTTCCCTCCTCTTCTTTTTTTCATGCAGTTTGCAAATTTAAGAACATGGCTTACATTCAAAATGTCTCCTGGCTCGTTACTAGACAGACCCAGCGATGCTGATTCTGTTCTTTCCTCTCATTACTGCTTATCATTGTGGAGTTTGCAAATAACTCGTGGGACTCAGTAATATCCAAGAGAACAAAGACTGTGTCAGAAAGATGAAGGGCACCTGAATTGCAATGAGGTAGCAAAGACCTGCTTTTAGAACAACTGTGGTGTTAACCATTGAGCACAATCTGCCTTCCTTCTGTCTGGAAGCACAAATTAGAACAGTGCTGAGACTTTATTTCTGCATAAGGGTATTGCCAGGAATGCTGATCTAGGATTGGTCATTCTGTGATGTATTTACACATTGGCACAGAGCAGATCAGACACCACTGAAGCCAATGTTATGTCCTTATATATTTCAGAGCTCTCTCTCAGGTTCCTGAAGCCTTGGAAAGCAAGTAAGGTAATTTCCATCCCTTTAGCAAGAAGTTTTGGTGCTATTTTCTGTGGCCTCCAGGCGCTGAGCAATTTGTGCATGCAGTACAGTCTCATTTAGAGGAAGTAGAAAATGCCATGTTATAAATAAGATATACACAACAGTCCCTCCTCAGGTATTAGGTGTCTTTCTGGAGACCTGATTTGATCACCAAAGTGTCTGGGTCTTGCTAAAACATTTTGGAGTAAAGCAGAGACCTGTCAGTCTTTTTCCATAAATTACAACATCAGGGAACTGCTTCACCACTCTGCGTCCCAAACACTTTCTTCCCAGAGCACCAAAAGACAGTATGTTGGTAAGATATGACAGAACAACACACAAATAACATGCTCATGGTTAAGCTAAAATACCCCAAATCCTGGATTAATTGCCAGTCCGTAGTTCCCATGCCCTTTTTTGGTTTTTTTTTTTTTTCCTTTTTAATCCAACAGTGAATCAATGTAGTCACTGAGTGGCATCAACACAGACTTTGTGATTAATTCCAAGTTTTATTTCTTTTCTAAATCCAGTCTCACACAGGTATATTTGCAAGTTACTTCAGTATTTTCCCCCAAAATAATTGAACCCCAGTTACTCCAGAAAGTCTCTACTGAAGTCTGCAGTGATCAGAGACTGAGAATAGGCTGTTGCAGGGGATAAATGAGCGGGAGGACAACAAAACAAAACAGGTTATCCTGCTAACATAGCAAAGATCACCTCCTTCAGGAACTGTCTGGTTAATAGATGTCATACTGGCCTCTTGCTGGCTGTTTTAGGAAGTTTGTTTCCTATCATTAAGCAGCAAATGATGCAGCATCTCTTCTCAATATGAAAATTCTCAAAATAATTTGAATTTAGCATGGACAAAGCACTCAGAATGTGAAAGGAAAACTAGTAGCAGATGTACAAGGTTCTCAGATATTTGTTCTGTGCTGATATGTAAGTAAATAGCAGATGTTTTTGAAGTTTCTCATCATTACTAAATGATGAAAGGGGGAGAGGACACTCTAGATTACATATTCACTTGCTCATTTTAAATGCCAATCATTACATCCATTTAAATACCAATTAATTAAACCCATTAAAAAACCTCTGTAGTTCATTAAAAGTTTTTTAATTGCTGAATTTCTGCTTTTTTCATGTTTTTCTGAGAGCTACTATTACTTTGAAAACCTTCAGTAGGTTTGTGTCTTTAAATAATTGTGTCAAAAAAGTGGAAGAAGCCAATGGGCTGAGTACACCAGATGGGTCAAGCAAGGTGCGTCTCCACCTGGGCACAGCTTTTGCAGGCAGGGCTGCTGCTGGTCCCTGCCCCAGGAGAAAGGGCCAGGTCCTTCCTGCAGCCTGAGCTCTGCATGGAATCACAGAGCTCCCTGAATGGCAGGGGACACACAAGGATCACTGAGTCCTGCACCGGGCAGAATCCCTAAGAATGACACCATGGATTGTCACACACCCAGAGCGTGTCCAGCTGCTTCTGGAGCTCTGTCAGGTTTGGTGCTGTGATCACTCCTGGGGAGCCTGTTCCAGTGCCCAGCCACCCTCTGGGGGAAAAACCTTTTCCTCATATCCAACCCAAACCTCCCATGATTTCAGACTGTTCCCTCAGGTCCTGTCACTGGTCACCAGAGGGAAGAGATCAGTGCCTGCCCTTCTCTTCCCCTCAGTGAGGGGCTCCCCTCAGTCTCATCTCCAAACTTGTGGGAATCCAGGGCTTCCCTCTGGCTGCCCTGGCAGGTCTGGGACCCTGGCAGGGGTCAGGAACCCCCTTGTACAGAGCCCCGAGAGACACTGTCTGTGATCTCTGTCCATGGAGAGGAGATTTCAATCTTACAGGATGAATTACAAGCTCTGAGTGTTTGATATAAGTAATAATTAAGTGTGACACGGGTGCAAAAGTAAAATTTTAGATTTCTAGATTAGGGGTTCAGAGGGGACAAGATGGAGGAAATTGGGTGTGTCTTGTCCTTTTCCTCCTTCTTCATGCCCTCCATGTTTCACTGTAGTGTTGGCATTTTTCTATTGGTTTAGGCTGGGGACACACTGTTTAACGTAGATGACAGATATTGGCACATTATTGTAAATATAGCACACAAAGTTTCTGGTATATAATGTTTGTAACATTCCACTGGGGGCAGAGCCCCACACGCTGCCCTGCAGGACAGACCTGCGGCAGGGCAGCAGAACATGTTAGAGATAAACAGAATAAACAACCTTGAAACCAGCACAGACGAATTATGACTTCTTCTTTGGCAACGGGGCAGAAAGATGGAGATTTTCTACAATCTCAGAATCACCAATACCCACAGATTCCCACACAAACTGAACAGACCAAGTGCCTCCAGCCATTCCTCATACATCTTCCCCTCCAGAGCCTTCATAATTTTTGTAGCCCTCCTTTGCATGCTGTCTAATACCTTTATATCCTTCTTATGTTGTGGCAGCCAAAAGTGCCCCCAGGGCTCCCAGTGAGGTGGGCAATGCCCTCCCTTGTTGGGCCCCAGGACATGGCTGCTCCATTTATCCACCAGGGCACTGGTGTGACATCTCCAGACCCAACCTCTGCCTTCAGCAGCTCTGTCAGTGTGGAGGTGTTGGCAGCCCTGGGCAGGGCAGCCTTTCCCCCCTGCTTTGCCTGCAGGGGATGGCAGAGCAAGTGCCCTTGGCCTGGCAGGAGGCCACACACACAGAGCTGCTCATTTGCTGAGTTTTGTGGGCTTCAAGTCTCTCCAGTCAGCCCGTGGAATGTCCTTCTGTCAAAAAGTTGCCCTCTCTGCACACCCTCCTGCCTCAGAGGCCAAACAAGCTGCCATCCTGAGCCTCGGCTCAGGCTCTGGCCCTGTGCCACTGCCCAGGGCTGTCCTTGGTAGGGGTGAAGGGTGGATGCCATTAGCCCTGTCCCCCCAAATCCTCAGTAGCTGTTCTGGAGTGCTTCTGGAGGGTCTTGGCACTCCCCTGGGCTTCCCTGCCCAGGAACTCCCCCTGGGTACGCTGTGATCCCCTGCCCTGCTGTGGAAGGTGCCAAGATCCTCTGCGAGTGATAAATACAAAAAAGTTAATTAGATTGCTAATTAAATGCCATCCAAGATTAAATGATTAAACATTTATAGGAGATTTTCTAAAGATATTCTCCTTCAGAACTCAGTGAGCCAGCCTGGATTTAATTTTCGCAGCAATATGAAGTGCCAGTCCCTTAAAAAAAGGTTCTCCTGCCTTCAGTGGGTGCTGTGCTTGCCCAAGGGCAAGACAGAGCTTCTTCTAGTATGACAGCTCTTCTAGAGGTTTCCAGCCCCTTCTCCTGCTTTCTTCCCAGAGGATCCCCTTAGTTCCTACTGACAGGATCCTTCTGATGCAGTTATGCCCTGCCCAGGTGCTGGATGTGCAGTCTGATGTTGCCGTGAGGTCTCACAGACACATCCGTGCTACCACACCTGGGCTCTGCAAGGGCTTCTCTCTCAAGAGAAAGGAGTTCTTGCAGGGCAGGTCCCAAACATTCAGCTTTGCCCTACACTCCATACAGACACAATGCCTGCAGAGATTATGGACGAGACTTCTGAGTGAGAGCCCCTTTTAAGTGTGAATTAAAACACTGATAGCAGATTTCATTTGTGCTTAAGTTCTAGTCCAGCTATTCCCATCATCAATGAGACAATAGCACCTTTTCATCTGTGGCTGGGGGAAGAATTTGCTTCTCAGAGCCCTAAAAGCATTTTTAGTGTTTTTGTAGAATATTCTCAGGAAATATTTTTGAAGTGTCAGTAATACCTCTGCAATCCCAGAGATAATGGGATAAGTTAAACAGACATTTGTGCATTACAGACAACCCCCTGAAACAATTTCAGCTGCAATTCCTAACCTGCACTTGGAATATGTCTACAAGAGCTGCTATTTTTGCTGCTGTTGCAGTCTCTGAATCAGGGATCTGAGAACTAAAGAGCAGGAGCTATTTCTCTTAGGAGCTGAGGGTGTTTTTGTCTTGCCCTTTTGGGATTAGGGTACAGGATGGATTCTGTGACACAGACTCCTCAGAGCTCTGCCTGTACAAAGCTGTTTTCTGTGTGCTCCCCTC